ACTAAGCAAATTAACTAAATGGCCTCGGTAAACGAGGGGTGCATACATGCTCGGTTTTTTACCCGAAGAACATCCACTGTCTGCCACTAATTGCCTCTGTTGCACAACACTTACATTGTTTCCCTCCTCCAGATCAACACTACTCTGCTTCAAAAGCACAATACTGAATTTTTCACTGATGGCTGGCCGGCCACAGATGAGGGTTTGTCGGCCAACACTAAGGGGTTGCCGGCCATTGGAGGTGGCCTGCCAGCCACTGATGAGGGTTTGTCGGCCATTGGAGACAAGTCTTTTCTTGCTGTAACAGAAGACAAAACAAAGCAAGAAAGAGGTGGTCTCACAGGTTATTTGTACCATGTATCACCCCTTATCATTAACGCAAGCTCCAATGAATGATACATTTGGCCCTCAAACCATCAATTAAGCAATTTCCATACATGATGGCTAAGGGACCAATTTGTACAAGTTCAATAAATGCAAAACAAGATTCAAATACCATCACCCTATCATGCATGATCAAGGCCAATGGAGACCTAGGAAAGTGGCACGTTTCATCACTTTTGAGTATAAAATGTCCCATTTTTCTTGTGTTCAAATTAACGTCCGATTTGAACACATGCAATGCAATACAAAGAAATGCTCATCTTGCCACTTTTACTTGCCAATTTTGTTTTTACATTTTAATTACCAAATCATTCTTTAATCAATTTATCAATTGGTGAGTGTCCTCTAAGATGAAAGAAGTGTCAACCAAGGGATAATGTAAGGCAAGAGAGAGATCATGCCGTTGATAATGAACCGTCAAAGAGGATTAAACCATTAAGCATGATATCAATCTCAAGCTTAAAGGATCCTAAGCTTGAAACAACATTCAAAAGCAAATGAAAGAGTGAAGCAAAAAGGGAGGTTGCAGAGTTTATAGTGCTGAAATGGAGTGAAAAACAACACTAAAAGATGCTATCAACTCAAACAAGAGGTGTCTAAGACCCTAAAACACCAACTTGTGAGGATTATTACACCACAACCATGCAAAACAAGATTCAAATGAACTAACCAGCTCAAAACAGAGCTCAAACAGGCTATTTCAGAGGCTAAAACATGTTGGACTTGAGCTAAGTTAAGCTAGAAAAACATGCTAACATATGAAGTTAATTAGGCATGCAAACAAGACACAAGGAGGGGAGGCTAACCCCTCAAAATTTGGATTTCAAAATGAGTTTTTTGTCACTGAAAAATCTCTGAAATTCAATGGTCAAAAGGCCCAAAAAAGTTGGTTTGAAAGTGGTGAACAAAGGTACAAAAGCTTTACAAACAAAGAAGTAAGAAAGGGTGAACCATCCCCTAATTGAAAATGGCCTCAAGGCCACAAAAATAGAGTTTTTTACAGTTCAAAATCAGCCCCAAAACAACCCAAAAACACTAGAAGAAAATGGCAAAGCAAGTATGTAAAACAAGCTAACAAAGCAAGTGTTATACCTCTTGAAGCCAAGGCACAAATTAGGCAACAAAGCAAGCCACAACCACCTTCTAAAGCTCAAAGAGGATCTCAAGTAACCTTAGCCCAAGACAAAAGTGTAGAGACACTAAAAAACTAAGCACAAAATTTCAAGAGAGAGAGAATTTTGCTCCAAAATTTTCTAACCTTTTACAATGGGGGAGAAAGTCTCATATTTGTAGAAAAACAAGCTTTCAGCTGAGTTATATCTATCCATACACGTGTATGGTGATCAAGACCATTGTGCTAACAGCTGGAACAGCTGTGAAGAAAATATTTGTAAAAAGGCATCAATGGCCGGTAGGCCACTAATGTGGCTGGTCGGCCACCAGTGATGGCCGACAGCCTCAATTGGTGGCCGGCAGCCACCAAGGGTTGCAGGCTTGAAGGTTTTGGTCCAAAACAGGGCACAGAATGGATGGGGTTTAAAGGCTCAAAGGCAGGGCATTTCGCCGAGGACTTCGGGCACCAAAATGAGCACAAATAGTCACAATCATCGAGTGCAGAAACAATGATGTCCAAGTCTTGAGGACGGTCAAAAATGGGGTGTCTACAAAATGTCATGCGCCCTTCATTACACGAAATTTGATTCTAGCCTCTGCCTAGGTGATAAATCAATTTGCCTCTTCCCGCATTATAATCCAAATAGTAACCTTATGTCGCAACTCTCGAGCTTCACACTTGACCCACCAATGTTGAACGCATTTTCTCGAGAATTGTATGCATTTATAATTTTAAATATGAGCTTGTCACACTTTCTAAATTTGTTGTAGTTTAAGTTAGTCACATGAATTGCCTCATAATCCAGAACGACGTCCTTTTCAATTGGCGTAAATGTGCCTCCCTTAATTTTGCTGAGTTGACAAGCTTAACTATCCCAGCTATGTTTGACCGGAAGTTCAGCTTCGTTTGAGGTTAATGTTGCCCACCTATAGCTGCCTTTCCCACATTACAACCCACCCCATGTGTGACAACTTTAGTTTGTTTGAAGAGTATACGACCTTGCATTTTCACCCCAAGTTTGTTTGATTTCGAACCAATTCCCTCCTTAGCTCGTTTTTTTTCACATGAACGAGTCCATGGACTTGTTACCTTAAGAGAACCTGAAATAACAACAACAACAACACAACTTTTTCAGCTTAAATGCAATTTTCAACATAAGGACTCAAACATACAACGTTACATGTCACACATACACAATGTACCACCCACCCACGTCCACAAATTCTATAACAACATATACAACAAATACACACCACATTCTTCACCCAAATTTTTCAACAGGCAACACCCACATTAAACAATACGTGCACATGTGTACTCACAACACCACCCATAAACCCCATAACTCAAAATAAACGCTTTCCGTCACCAAACAACAAGGTCATGTTTGTGTTAGTACACGTTTTGCATTTTCACTATAATGCCCACAGGAAACATTTCATAACGTCTCACACTCATATTTTATGTGCGTCACTCGTACGAACTGTAACACACACTGACGTAAACACATTATGGCAGCACATTTACAAAAAAACAAAAACTAAAAAAAACTAAACTCTTCAACCCAAAAAAATCTGACAGCCAACACCCACATTTACTAAGATGCTCACATTTTTTTCCACAATCCCACCTGTAAACCAACCACACACAAAACTTATCTTTGTGTGCGTACATGTTTTACATATTCAATATAAGACCAACTCGCAACATGTCACACATACACAACGTACCACCCACCCACGTCCACACATTTCATAACAATATATACAACAAATACACACCACATTCCTCACCTAAATTTTTCAACAGGCAACACCCACATTAAACAATACGTGCACACACGTACTCACAACACCACCCATAAACCCCACAACTCACAAACTAAACGTTTTCCATCACCAAACAACTTCATGTTTGTGTTAGCACATGTTCTGCATTTTCACTATAACGCCCATAAGAAACATTTCATAATGTCTCACACATATTTTATGTATGTCATTCATACGAACCATAACACACACCGACGTAAACACACTACGACAACACATTTACAAAAAAAAAAACTCCTCAGCCCAATAAAAATCTGACAGCCAACACTCACATTTACTAAGATGCTCACATTTTTTTTCCATAATCCCACCCGTAAACCAACCACACAGTACATGTTTTACATATTCAATATAAGACCAACTCGTAATATGTTACACTAGTCCCCCTAACATACAACAACATGCACACAAACTCAAAAGCCATTACATGTTATAACCACTACATACAACACACACACTTCACATCAAACAAACCCAAATGCCTTCCCCCAACCCATTACCACCTCACACCTGCCCTCACCCACACAACCCAATACTAATGAACCCAAACCGTTTACAATAATCAACATACATTACAAAAATCTGCAACAACTAGCAACAAATAAAGTAAAAAAATGGGACCCCAAAAACCTAACTAACGACACATACACTCTGCAAATTAGACCCCAAACTACAACATTATCTGACAACACATACACAAATCCAAACCCTATAGCAACAAATAAATTCAAAAAATGGGACCCCAAACATCAAAATCAATTGACAACACACACTTTGCAAATGGACCGCAAACTACAAAAACAACTGACAACACATAATCTAAAAAACGGGTCCCCACATATCCATCTAATATACGAAAATCAGCAGTAGGGTCTTGTTATATACCTTTATCCGCCATCGACTCAGTTTACAGGATTGATCACTGATACAAGGACGATTTCGATTCATTGTCAGCTTTCCCTCTCCTCTGAAGTGTGACGACCAAATCGACAAAACGTTAGAATGTGTTGGCGTAACAGTCTCGTACCTTCAGTATATCTCTATCATCCCTCCAAATCACGGACACAATTGCATTTCAAATTTTTCGAAAATGATAATTTGGGGTTTCACACAAATCAGTGAACCTCCCCTAACAAAATGGGGTTGGGTCGTGGGTATGGGCGTTCGGGTATGGTTATTGAATGGCCTCAAGTCAATTAGTGTGACACGTTACATCCTCACCACAACGGCAAAAGACACAAAAAGCCTTTAGTACGCTCTCGCAGTATGCGGCGCCTACAACGTGTCACGTGCCAAAACCCAATTTTGAAATTCATATGTACACAACACCCATTCTGTACATAATTTATGTGTGGCACATGGGCAATTCCGAAATCACACCATTTCATCTGCGACTCATACTTTTAACATCCAAATGATAGCAAATACGTCATTTCAAAACTAAAAGGATCAAACGGATCATTAGAAAATAAATGAGACTAATTGGACAATAAGTATAACTTTTAGGATTTATTGATAAATCTCCTAAAAAAGAGAGAGAACAAATAATTTTAAAAATTTATTAATCAAGCATATTTTTAATTTTTTATTAAAATATTAATTTAAAAATTAAACCAACCGTTCCTTTACACTTCCATCACCGATTTGCAATTTGGCCTAATTATTTTTAACCGCAGCGTAGGGAAGCTCTTATCTTACTAGAATTCGATTGGAGAAACCTCACTCACTCACTCCCGCTCAGTTTTCTTTTCGAAATACTTTCTCTCTCTAGGGTTTCCATCGGAACTCGACATGAAAGATGTTGACGAACCTCACACCTCCGATCCCATCGATCCCCTTCACTCTTTCTCTCTTCTCTCTCTTTTCCCTCAAACATTTCGCCATTCCATGAATCCCCCGAACCCCAATCACCCGGACGACCTCGAATCTATCCACGCCTTCATGAAATCCATGGTGAGTTCTTCACTCGTACCTCTACTTCGAATCTATCCCATCCACACCTTTATTGAAAATTTCAGATTCAGAACTTCAATTGAAAGAAAAAGTTTAAAAATTGAGTTGATTTTGGAACCCATGTATCACATATTCCTCTTTGATTAGAGCTTAATTATTGAATTTTATTGTTTTTGTGTACCCTGTTAGGTATTGACAAGTCCCGGAAAGTATTCGGAGCAGGCGAAGGCTATTTTAGATGGCAATTCACAACTTCTGAACTCAAATTTTGGCAGTTTTGCAGCATCTGAGAAGGAAAATGAAACTGTTGCTGCAAAGGGTAAGGAAAATTTTCAAGAACAAAGACCGGCATTGGAGCGTAAACAGGCTCAATTTTCTTCGAAGCTGAATTTAAGGTAATATTACTGCTATGAAGATCAATTTTATCAGCAAAGTACATTCTTATCAGTCTGACCATGTGACATACATATTTGACAGTCAGTCTAGTTTGGACATTGATCAACTCCAAGACCCGGAGGAGTATTTCTTGGCCCATGAAAGGCTTGAAAGTAAACCCTACTGAAACTCTTTGGTAATGTTTGTATTCTATGGTTTTGGTTTTCATTCTGTCTTATAATTGTTGTACAGATGGCAATAAGGAATTACCGAGACAGATGGGTGGAAGTGTCACTGATTTAGATGATTACAATTTATCAAAAACTGAGACAGAAAATGAAACTGTTACTGCCAAGGGTAAGGAAAATAAAACTGTTGCTGCAGAGGGTAAGGAAAATGTTAAAGAACGAAGACCAGCATTGGGTCGTAGACGGGCTCAATTTTCTTTTAAGCCAAATTTAAGGTATAATGTTACTGTTCTGATGATTAGTTTTATCAGCAAAGTACATTGCTATCAGTCTGACCATGTAATATATAAATATTTGATAGTCAGTCTTCTGTGATCGTGGAACCAAGTTTGGACATTGATCACCTCGAAGACCCGGAGGAGTATTTCTTGGCCTATGAAAGGCTTGAAAGTAAGTCTGACTGAATCTATTTGGCAGTGTTTGTCTGCTATGGTTTTCATTGTGTCTAATAATTGTTGTACAGATGCCAAAAAAATATTTCAGAGACAGAGGGGTGAAATTGTTACTGATTTAGATGACTACAAGTTATCAAAAACTGAGCGACGCCGTCGGCCAGGAATTCTGGGGTATCATCTGTGTTTCTATCAGCACTTCAATAGTAGTCCCTGTTTGCAGTATGGGTTTACTGACCCTTTTTTGGGTATTTTTGTGCTCGTACAGGAAGTCAGTTAGTTACAAGCATCGTTATTCAGTACTTCCTGAAAGTGATAACACTTTTGTTTCATCCCAAGAGACAATGGGGCAGGACATTCTCAGTCCACGTAATTATATTTCACAACCAGAAACTACAGATACTAATGCTGAATTGCGGGAAAAGGAATCAACTGGTGAGTGAATCCTATTGGGGCAAAAAGTTAATTTGTTGCACTCTCAATTTATGTTGTATTATTCATTATCATCTCAGGATTTTTTTGCTTTAATCTTGCGTTACTACTATTTCACTTGATGACAATTGATTTCACTATGGATAGGTTCAATTCATAAGACCGAGAAGAGAGTCAATGGCCTTTTGGATGAGTTACTCTCTGATAACTGTGGCAATTTAGATGGGGATGAGATGGTATCTTTCTTGCAGGAGCGCTTGCAGATCAAACCTCTTGATCTGGACAAATTATGCCTTCCTGAATTTCATGATGTTGGAAAGATTGATTTTACGGAGTTGGGAAGAAATTTGCAAAAGCCTCGGAAAACACTATCAGATAAAAGGGATTTGGGGAAAGGGATAAGTGGTAAAACACCTGTAAAACACAAACAGGTGGCAGAAAGCGCTGTCCATTCTCCGGCTTCGCCCACCCCTCCAAGAAGTCCGTTTGCTTCACTATCTTTGTTAATAAAGCGCACTTCGAAGTCAAATATGATGAGCAATCCTTTCTCAGCCCTCAATCAGTCACCAGTCAGAAATTCTTCTTCTGTTGAACATGTTGATGAGCAATCAGATCAGTATAATGCAATGAAGGAATTGGGGGTTTCTGGTGAGTTAAAGTCACTGATTACTGAAATAAGCGTTGTTAGAGTCGATGGTGCAGGTTCACAAGAGATGATAACAGGAGATTCAATCCCCCCATTTGAAAAGTCCGTGAATGACAACTCAAGCAGACTTAGCGTTGGTATTAATGTTATGTCAAGTGGGTCTCATGGTGACTTGAAAGATAATGATGGGAACTGGAATATGGATGACAATGACAGTAGGCTTAATATTGATAAAGATGTTCCGGAAAATGGGCCCAATGAAATGGAGGAGGATGACAGTATACTTAATACTGTTTCTGATATTCGGGCAAGAGCACCCAATGAATTGGAGGAGAATGTAAGGGCTTCTTGAGACGTTTCTGCATAATTTTGAAAGATTGTGAAAATCATGATACTGTGCTTGATTCTGATGTTTTGTGACAATATGCAGGTTGGAGATATTCCACAGGAAGCAGGGTCACACGGAGATGTCAACTTTGGGGACTCATCTAGGCCTCATACTGATTTTCAGACAGATGGACCAACTGAAATGGAGAAGAATGTAAGGTCTTTCACGCATGTGGGTGTATAATAAGTTTAGAGGATAGCGTAAGTCTCATACTGGATGCTAAAATGTGATTATGTGTTGTTCTGTGACAAGTTGCAGGTTGAAGATATGCCACCGAATGCAGAACCTGATATTAATATTGAAGACCCCAGTACAGGAAACTTGGACAGTAATCAGAATCAGGAGGGTATGATTATTGCTTTATGCCTGTGTTGCAACTTGTATTTCCTAGATTATTGTTTAAACTATTGCCTGAACCTGCATGTAGTGTGATGTGTTTGTTAAATCAATGAGTACATATAAGTATCTCTCTGCAATTCTCTGATCATTTTGGGTTTCAAATTCATTGTGGCACTAAAATCTCTATGCTTGGTACTTACATTTATAATTTTGGTAATTCCTATTTCTCGTGATTACATTTTATCTATTTTCCCCTCCATCTAAGTGAAGTATCTTTTTGTGATTTGATAACCGTAAAATGGTATTGAAATGTATAATCAATGGGGATCAGAAGAGGGCAACAAGAATCTGGTCTTGCGCAAGTCTACTCTTGAATGTGAATTGTGAGTTTGCTACATATGCTAAGAAGCATGGACACTTCTAAGAAGGTAACGTATCCGTGTCGTGTCCGTGTCGGACACTGACACTCTTTGGACACTCTTTGGACACGTGTCCGATACTCTTCAAAACGTGTCCTATTTTTTAAATATTTTTAAAGACCTGGACACTCTTTGGACACTTGGAGGACACACGTGTCAATTGTTTAAACACGTGTCTATTGATTATAGATATGTAAAACTAATTATAAGTTTGAACAAAACAACTTAAGATACAATAATAAAACAAGAATCATATAAATTTATAGGAAATAGTGCTATATTGCATTTTTTATTATCTTTGAATGATATATTCATATATATAACAAATAATAAATATATAAAATCATATATTTCATGCGTATCCTCCACGTGTCGTGTCCTGCATTTTTTTAAAATTAACGTGTCGGCGTGTCCGTGTCGTATTCGTGTCGTGTCACGTGTCCGTGTCCATACTTCTTAGTGCATATGTCTTCTGTTAAGCCACCAAATTTTCTAAATTCTTAATTTGTTAAGAAATGGGTATAACAATATATATTAAGCTCTACAACACTCCTTTCGTGCAGCCTCATCTCGTAGATGGAGAGGTGAATCAATTGAATTGAATGTGTGCACAAACACGTGCAGATGTGAACAAATTGAACTGAATGGGTGCACTTAAACACAAATAGAACGGAGTGCATAACAACAAACATAATAAGGGGAACAAGCATAGATTAAGAACCCAAAACCACCTGGAGCCAAAGTTTTGCATGTTAAGTTACCTAATTCTCACAAAAGCTTGGACTGTTAGATAATGGACTCAACAATGTATATTAAGCCAGCCAACACTTTCCATTAGAAAATGGCTTGTTGTTTAAGATATTATGGATCTTGTAGCCCAGTTTTGTTGGGGATTTTTTTCAGTTTCATTATGTTCTTTTTCTTCCTCTCTCTCTCTCTCTGATTAGCAGATGGAAGTGCAGTGTCACGCTTGTCTTTCTTCCCTTTATGTTAAGAACTACTATGAGTGGCTTTGGTACGCCAAATTGAAATATTTGATTCTTAGAAGATCATATAATACATGTATGTATATATTATATGGTGGATGATTTGTTTGTTATTTAAAAAAAAAAAATTAAATCATTATTTTGAAAGGTATGTAAGATATGTACCATACCACTTGATGAACTTGTCATTTCTGGTCTTGTTCCAATTACTGTCACATTTATTAATTGGACTACTGGCAAACAAATTTAGCCATTTTACCTTACCTGTTGTGGGGGAAATGGAATCTGCTTGTTGGTTGTCCAAGGAATTAACAAATAGCCGTCAGCATCCAATCATTCATGGATTCAAAAATTTGTCATAGTTATTATGAATCTTATGTGTTTATTCTTATAGTTACTCGGTTACATTAATTGTAAGTTCTTTTTGCTTAGCAATTATCATCTTGCATTATGCGCCGGGTGTTCTTTGTCATCTATAACTATAGGGTTGAGATGGTTTCAACCTCTAGTCTTTTGAGGGCAATTTTCTGATTTCTTCTGAATTCTGACAGATCAATCAAGTCCTGCTGCAGGTAGACCCCATGCGATGGACGGACCCTCTGAAACTGCTGATTCGTTTCCAGATCAACATATTGAGGTCTTCTCCTTTCCTGGTCATTTTCTTTTTTGTTTACTCTTTGGTTCGGTGGTTGGCATTTATAACTTAAGTGAAATTAGAATTTCTGTATTTAGTTGAGTTGAAGTTACATAGGCACAGGAATTAGTAATCTGAATTGGAGGGTTTAAAAGTTCATTTGCTAGTTAGTTTATTGGTTTTTTTTTTTTCCTTTTTTATTTGCAATCATTTTTATAATCTATACATAAAACTTGTACAGACTGTTTTAAACCTTTAAATACACATGGTGCAGTCAATGTATGGAAGATTGACTCTAGTAAGAAGTATAGGTGTTTGCTGAGGGTCATGGATTTACACTTATCCGGGTTAGTGAGTTCCTAAGTAGCACAGACACGGACACAATACAGACACGCCCACATGTCGGTTCTCAAAAAATGCAGTACACAACATGTTTGGGATACGCTAAAATATTAAATTTTTACAAATTTATTATATGTTATGTATATTATATATGAATAATTTGTTCAAAGTTAATGAAAAATATATAACATAACACTAATTAATTAAAAAGTTATGTATTTCATAATTTAAAAATCAAGATATCATTTATGTAACAATTACATTCTAAAGAATGAAAAACATTTGTAGAATATTATAATCCACATGATGTATCCATCTTAGCGTGTAAAAATTGTTTCAAAACATATTTAGCGTGCATAAATTGTGTTATGAAGAATGCATAACCTTGTTATTTTAAAGGGATTCTTTGCATAATACTTGTTCGAAGGGTTTGAGAAGTGTCGCTGCTGAAGTGTCTGCAAAGTATCGGTGAAATTTCTGATATTATGAATTTGATTTTTTAATTAAGACATGTTGAAGAAGTATTGGACACGCTTTTAGGATTGTCCATAGTGTGTCGGTGTCCGACACGACACGCATGCTCGGCAAAAGTGTCTGTGCTTCTTAGGGTGAGTACATGGTTTGAAAACTGTAGGATTGGTAAATTTATCTTTCTGATCAGTTGGGATTTGTGTGTGGCTTAATAAAAGTATAATTCTACTTTCTTGCAGAATGGTTTGTAACCAAGCAAAATTTTAGGTTCAACATTAGTAAGTGTCTTGGTATTTCTTTGAAAAAGGCCTAAAAGACAGCACAAATTTTTAATTTATCTTATCCTCTATTGGAAGGAAGATGTAAAAATGTTAAATCATTATACATCCAAGCTGAATGGAATCAAATTTATAATCTTTTAAGGGAAATGTATGTTAAGAATATTTTCTATTTTTTTAAGGACTGTTTCTTGCATTATTTCTCGAGCTAGTTTCCTATTTTAAACATTACTTACGTGATTATTTATTACTTGTTTTGAGGTCCACCTATATGGGGTGTTATGTTAAATTTCTCTTTGGTTGCTTTGAGTTAAATCATAAACCTAGAAAATTGCTCGAAATGGATAGGACATACAGGCCATTATGGTTTAGCCTTTTGGTACTGGGTAGCATTCCCTCTAGATTTTTTTAAAATAAAACTTACTTATCCTAAAAAAAACATGTAGCAATTATTATTATTATTATTTTTTTTTTGAAGAAAAACACACAAAAAAGGAATAGAAGGAAGAAGGATAAATCCCTTTGAGAGATTGAAATAGGGCCTTAAAAGGGTAACAAGTTTCTTTCTCTCAAAAGTTGAAATGTATAGCTATATTCATACATGATATTTCTTTTCTTCTTAGATTTTGTCTTCTTATCTTGTAAAAAAAAGTTGTCTTTTAATCTTGGCCTTCTTCTTCCAAGTGTTTTCTTTCTTCTGTAATCAACAGGACAGGATAAGAAAATGCTTTATATTCTCTCAGTTAAATGTTTTCTCCAAGTTCTTGCCACTTGTGATTTTCTGTATTAATCATAAGTTGAGTTTTGGTTCCTTTATGATCATGAAAGGATTCAGGTATTAGAAATAAAAAAGATTCAGGGTTATGAGAAGATAATAGAAAGTTTTCTTTACATTATGGTGTCAAGTTTTTATTTTTGTAATCCAAATGATTGTAGGATGAAATGTGCTTTTTGATGATGAATCACCTTCCTGTATGCCTTTTCCTCATGATTTTCTTGATTAAGTTCTGTTGGAAATAATAATGATATTGCTTCTTCTGCAACAGAACGTTCAGGAACCTTCCAGAGTATCATTGAACGAGCAAAGTGCAGCAAAAAGATCTCCACCCCGTGGTCACAAAAGAAGAACACTTTCTCATAGGCAAAGCCTTGCAGGTTCTTACTTATGCATCTACTTGTACCATGCATCCTTTGAATATTTAGTTATTTGGTTTGAGTAATATCATATATGTTGGCAGGGGCTGGCACATTTTGGGAATCTGGGGTAAGGCGGAGCAAGAGAATCAAAATGAGGCCTTTGGAATATTGGAAAGGCGAAAGATTTTTGTATGGACGCATACATGAGAGTGAGTGATTCTTTACTTAGATTATTCTACAAAAATAGTTTGACACTATCATCTCAATATTATTTGTTTTCTTGAATGCTGCTTAAGTTATTTTTTGTTAAAGAGACCTTTTTTTCTTTTTTCAATTTAAAAATATTACATTAGAGTGCGTGATTCGTCAAATATAGTTTTCCATCAATCATCTCAATATTAATTGTTTCCTTGAATCCGTGGCTTAAATTATTATTAGTTCAAAAGATCCCTTGTATTTTTTGTTTAAATTTATGGTCCCACGTTTTCCTGCTGGAGTGATGCTTGTGATTCTTTGCAGGACAATATTTACAAACTTAACCTAAATTCTTAATATTGAAGTGTGACATGATTTTTCCATGTAGTTGATAGTGGCACTACGATTAGCTTGTTACAACATTTTAGATACTTATTTGGGATTCGTTGACCTCAATAATGACTCAATATCTTTTGGGTATGATGGGGAACACAAGGGATAAGGATAAGAATAAAAAGTTTTATTCAGGGTAAATTATGTAAATGGTGTTTGTAGTTTACACAATTTGTCAATTTGTTCTCTGTTGTTTTAATTTGCTCGATTTTGCCCCTTAATTTAACGAATTGTGTTATATTGGCCCAATAAATAACGACCGTTAGGTTTGATAGATAGAAACTCAAAGGATGTGTCAATTTGGTCTCTGTCAAAATCGAGCAAATTAAAACAATAGGGGATCACATTGACATATCGTGTATACTCCAAGGATCAAATTGACACATCGTTTAACCATGTGACGACTTTCCTTCCACCAAACCTAACGACCGTTATTTATTGGACCAATATGACACAATTCGTTAAACTGCAAGGCAAAATCGAGCAAATTAAAACAATAGGGACCAAATTGACACATTATGCAATTTACCCTTTTATTTATCTAGAAGTTCAGTTTGTTTAGTATTAGTTTGGTTTGCCTGTATATATGGCCTTTGTGTGATGGAACCCTAAGGTGATTTCTATCATTTTTGGTGTTGAAGCCAAACTCTTTAGGTGCTGAAGGCGGCTAAGGTTTCTTCTTTTTTCTTTCTTTCTTGTTGTCCTGCATCAGGGTATCTTCTTGGTGGAAGACAAGACAAGTGTATAGTTGGATTTTAGCTGTATATGCCGAAAAAATAAATTAAGTTTTCTCTTTAAAACGTTTCTCTTTTAAATTTCCACACTATAGGTTGCAAAATCCACTAAATTACATGTCTTCTTGTGATTTGATATCTCACTGAGGCTGGATACGTTGAATTAATTTGTTTCTTGTTGCAGGCCTGACAACTGTGATTGGGGTGAAGTATGTGTCACCGGCAAAGGGTAATGAAAAACCGGCTGTTAGAGTCAAGTCTTATGTCTCTGATGAATACAAGGAACTTGTTGAACTAGCAGCTTTGCATTGAGATCTCCTTGTTTTCGTCTCAAGCACAATTGAGATATCCTGTGGGGGACTTCTTGATTGAAATGGTTTTTTCTTTTTCCCCCTAATGATAGATAAAGATTGAAATGACATTCAATGAGGATACCATAATAACTGCTTTATGATTTTCTGATATATGTAGTTGGGAAAATTGTTTTGCCTGTTTAAAGAATGTGTATTCTTTTTATGGTTTTGTAGAGGGATGTTAACGCATGATACCCTGTTCTACTAACAGATTAGGGATATGCTGTTTGATATTGAAGGTCAAATTATTGGGCTGATTTGGTGATTGCTTGTGCTTCATTTTTTTTATTTTTAATTTTAATTTTTTAATCTAATATAAATAGAGTTAAAAAAAGAAAAAAATGGAAAAGAAATTCTCAAAAAGGATAAAAAAAGAAAAAGGAAAGAAAGAAAAGAAAAGAAAAGGGGAAATGACCAAAAAGGATTGTTAGAATGGTGGATGGTTTAAGCACAAACAAAGGCTCTTCTTTCTCGACTTTATGAAGCTCGTTATATAGACAGGAGTATCTTAATGTCGTGGTTGGTTGAGAAATTTGAAAAGAAAAAGAAAAAAGTATTATATTTGGTTGAGAAATTTTAAGAGGAAAAGAAAAAAAAATATAAGTGAAATGTGAATAAAATATATTTATATTTTATTTAATTTTAAATATATATATATTTTTTAAATTGTTCAACTAAATATTTTAAAACACACATTTAGGATACTTACGCTGTGTTTGGTTGGAGATTTGTAGAAGGATACTTACGCTGTGTTTGGTTGGAGATTTGTAGAGGAATTTGAAAAAGGAAAAGGAAATAGTGTGAAACTAAGTAAAATGTAGATATTTTTTATTTTAGTCGTGTTAGAAGCTTTGAAATTTTGAGGCTCGAATGTCTAGAATCATTTTTTTTTTTTTGAAAGGGTGGTTATGTGTAGGGATGTGTTAAAAAATTAAATATTTCGTATTAACTCAACCTGTGTGGTTTGATAAGATGAGTGAGTTGGGTTGGACTGGTTTAGTGATAAAATTGACTGATTAGTTAGGGCTGCTGGTTAAAATTTATTAATTCTATACAGTTTTGTTAATTTCATATAGGGACTCGTACAAAATTGTATGGAATTAACAAATTTTAACCAATAACATAATTATTCAGTCAATTTTATCACCAAACCAGTCCAACCCAACTCATTCATCTTATTAAACTATACAGGCTGAATTGGTGCGGGATGTCTAATTTTTTAGCACACCCCTACACATAATCATCATTGAAAGAAAAAAAAAATCAAACCAACACTGGCCCCCCCCCCAAAAAAAAAAATTCCAGGCATTCGAGCCTCAAAATTTCGAGACTTCAAATATTTTTCATTTTATTTATATTTTATCTACTTTTTTTTTATCTATCTTTCTAATTTTTTTTATAAAAATCTCTAAACTAAGTAGAGCATTACTCTCTCAAGGTAAAATGCGCATATGGTATTGTCTAGCAGCCAACACTTTCATACCAACCAAAGTATTTTTTTTCATCTTTTCCAACATTGTTTCTTGCTTCATTTCTATTTCAAAATGCAGTATAACTGAGAGTCTCGGGTTGTTTAGACCAATAAACTGATCTCTCTCTTCTGCTTGTAATGATTATCTCGGTTTACTATGTGCGAGACTATTCTACTCTGCCGGAGAAATCGATTTTAAAAAAAAAGAAAAATAAAAAGACCGTAGATGCATTTATCCATTTCTTTTTTCTTTTTCTCTTAAAAAAAATAGAACATGTTTGATTTATGTATGTTAAATAATATAATTGTGATAGAGATTCCCTGCACATACATGGCCCCTATAATTCCTATCCCAACTACTCAAAATATGAGGTCCATATATACATGAGTGGACCCCAAACATACATCAAAGACCAAGATCAAATTGGAAGTTATGAAACCCTCAAAAAAAGGTATCTCAAACATTTTTATAAATAATAATGAAACAAAGTTCAAACAGACAACAAAGCAAAATAAAACTAGTTGAGGATATTTCTTCTCATACATTGTGTCCACCATATCCGTTAAATTATGTTGATAAACTATTTTTTACAGGGTTGGACGAACATTGAGCTGGGCAGCATTAGTACTAATCTAGTCATATTCCCAATCTAATTATTCCAAGTAGGATCCTAAATGAAATTTTAAATCTCCAGCTCATTTACTTAATTCAATAGATGTTGAGAGGGAGATTTGCGCTGAACAAGTGGGCCGAGTTATGGCAGTGCGGGATATGGTGTTGGGCCTTGCGAGGGCCAAAGACCCTGTGGCTGACCGAACTGCACCACCACGGCTCCTCGGCTCATTAAGTAGGGCCGGGCAGACCGTCGCGCAGAATGTGAAGGCATGCAAGTGTCCAACGGAGCTACGGACGGTTTAGATTGACGTAGGGCCGAGATGTCCTACGAGATAGCAGAGTGAGGCCGAGATGCCGAACCGCGCGCCCTACATCTAGTCAATCCAGATGGACCGATTTGATATTGCTCGGCAGTTCTTGTCCATTGTGATGTCTGTCTCTCCTAGTGATAGCTCGGTTGTGTAAGCTACCTGGACTAATGGTAAGGAAGGGAAAATCCACTCTTGGCATGTGTTAATACCGTTTGGTGGTCGACAAACACTGTTTGGAGGTTTTGGTTTCTATACGTATAAGGAAGGTAGAGAGGAGCACAGCTGCCTGTCCAAAGAAGGACAACAGGGGTAGTGCACCCACAATCTTTGAGGTTGTATGGCCAGCCTTGAAAAGGAGAAACATAGAGACTTTTGTGGCAAGCAATCTGAAGGAATTCCCAACTCTCTCTCTCTATAGTGCTCTCTTCATTCTTCTTTTTCTTTTTCTTCTTCTTCTCCAAGTGTGCTGACTTGATCGTCGGAGGGTTTATCCAGCAGTACACCGCCGGGCAGCTCACAATCTTTCTGTTCTCAGATTAAGCAACGTTACGTGAAGCTTGGATTCAAGGAGTACGGAGAACTGAGAATATTTCACCCCCGTACAATCGGCACCATCTGTGGGAAGTCTTTGACAGACAAACCTTGCTCTCCAAGCTTTTTCAACTGTTTTCATGGCCAACAACGACGAAATACCATTGTTCATTGTCGATGGAATCACACTAGAGTCTGTCCGAAGGAGAGATGACCCTCATGTTATTCTGACTATGGTGGGCCTAGAGACCTCTTCCAGAGGTGCGCGAGACAAACGCGCGAGGAGCACTGAACATTCAAAGAGTCTCGAGGGTCGCTGACGGCGAAGAGAGTCGCATGCTCAGCGCCTGAAGCACAAACTCAGAGACCAGGACGCCCTCATTCAGAACATGGCGGCTAAAATGGAGACGCTGAAGTGCCAAATCAAGGGGAAGGGTGTTGCTGGAGTGGGCGACCACAGTGAACACACCCCACCCTGTCGCTCTGACAGTCGTTACCAACATGGGACACCCTCTCTATCTCTATCACCAGAAGCTACGGAGTTGGTGACTTCGACCCACAGGTGGAGAGGTCTTACACGCGCAATAGTAGTTATCGTTCCTCGCGTTCGTCGACGACATCAAGATACTCTTACTCCATCCATTCAGCATGCCGTAGAGAGGCCCAAAGATTGCCAGCGCTGCAAAGGCTAAGTTTCCAAATCTGTTGCAGTGAAGAAGTGGCCATGCCAGCGCCAAGAATGGTGGCTCCAGCACCGATGGACAGAGAGCTAGCAAGACTTACCGCTACCCCACTATCCCTAGAAATCGAGAGCACACCACTCCCTGCCGGATTCCACCAACCCAAGTTCATGCTATACGATGGCAGACGGATCTGTATATGCACGTTAGTCATTACCGGAAAGTAATGGCTGGCCACCGGCACAACGACGCCTTGATGTGTCTCATATTCCTAGCAAGTTTAGGAGAATTGGGCCTGAAGTGGTTCGAAAGGCTCCCGGAGGGGAGTATCGAGGGATGGCAACAACTAGCAGAGGCCTTTGTCACCAGGTTTAATACCAATATTCGAACACCAAAGGAGGTCGACCACCTCCTGAGGGTCAAGATGGAGTTTCGAGGTTCTTTGAAGGCATACAATGCCAAGTATTGGAAAACCTACAATGAGATCCTCGATTGTCCAACCAATCTAGCGATCGCCTAATACAAGCGAGGTCTACCAGTCGGGCATAGGCTACAAGACTTGCCCACAATGCTTCAGTCCACAACCATGAAGTCCTTAATGCAGCGGATCAACGAGCATATCCGAGTAGAGGATGATGCCGCCACTGCCACCGCAATCGAGAAGGCAAATCCGATTGCAGCGGACAGAAGGGTAGCTGGGAAGGTTCACTCGGTGGGACAGGAGGACAACGCTTTAATAACCGAGCTAGAGACCAACATCACGGTTCAAATTGCAATGATAGAAACAAAATCTGTGAAAACGACTGAGCTAACGCTCCTCGCAGCGAAGAGGAAGATGCCAAAAGGAAGTTGAAAGCACGAACCAGCATCACCACTGTCATTTAGATCCTAATTTATCACATCCTCAGTGAAATCTGATGTGAGCCATATGTGCGTTGGTCGGCCAAATTGGGAGACACGCAGAGGGGCTTTAACTTAAGGTATTGCACCTTCCATGAAGAAAGGGGGTTCCGAACGGAGGACTGCATGCCACTCAAACAACACTTGGAGGAGCTGGTTACGGCTGGGCATTTGGATCAGTACATTGATGGGGAGGTTGCTCCATAAGGACAAGCCAAGCCAAATGGCCTTGTCGCCCTGGATGCGGAGCCCCAAGGAGTAATCAATGTTATTCACGGCATCATCGAGTCGGTGCGGGTTTGCGATCTAAGGGGTATGATCAAGAAGGCCGAGCACATGAGGGAAGTGCTCTCTGTTCAGTCCGCCGTGAAAAAAAGGAAGACCGAGATAAAGGACGTCTTAACTTTTTCAAGCAAGGACTTGAAAAGATTTCAAACGCCTTATAATGACGCCCTAGTTGTGACACTTCGCGTCAAAGACTTCGACATCAAAAGAACTTTGATCGACTAGGAGAGTTTGGTCGAGATCATGTATTATGATGCGTTCAAACAGATGAAATTGGAGGAAAAAGACTTGGCCCCAACAACGTCTCTTTTGGTCGGCTTCAACTTTCAACCGGAATGGCCAATCGAAAAGATCATATTGTCGGTCAAAGCTGGGTCAGTCGCGAAGCAAGTGGAGTTCTGGGTACTTAACGTCCCATCAACCTACAACCTAATCTTGGGAAGGGGCTGGTTGCACACCATGCAAGCAGTA